GAATCAAAAATCCCTCATCGTAATTCAATTTCAGTCACCCTTTTGTCAGTGTTTTGTGTTTTTCACAAGATTAAAAGGTTAAACTGACAACACATAAATTCAGGGAAGTGTTAATTCAAATTACAAACACATTCCCTTATTTTATGCACGCACTGTCGACATTAACGTCTGGAAGAAATATATCCGTTGTAATTTTAAAGTAATTATTTTCTCCTCATGTGGTATAAATAAAGAGAGAAGTTTCTTTATGCTCGTGATAGAAATTGATTCTCAGGTCACGCTACAGGTTCGAACTTATCCAAAATCTTCCATTTTTCATCTTGTACACCCACGACAACCTTCATTCCCAAACAAATATTTTATGGTCGTTTTCTTCCATATACAGTGCTGAGGGAATGTGATTGATTATTTATTTATCTTGAATTTAAGTTTAAAAGTTGGGGTTTATTTCACTGTATATTTTTTATTTCTCGGTCGGTGAATTTATATTCGTTTAAAAATGCATTGAAAGTGTGAATGGGAAATGTAAATTTGGATAACTCGAAATGGGATTTGTTTAGTGTATTGCAGGAATGTTATATTTGTTCCAATAAAAGTTTGCGTCGACCGTAAACGTAATAGACTGAAAAATTTTCCTGACATTTGATAAAATGGAATTCATATTAGTTAATCGATGAACTTTTTTAACTCGATCGATTTTTTTATAAAAAATTACTAATTTCAACTTGACGTGTCACTCATTTCAGTTCGATTACAGTTATAAGGTAAATGCGTCGCCTGTGTAATAACAATTTGTAGCAATCAATCAAATTAAATCGATTTCTTTATGCGGCAGCGAAGTCCGCAGTAGTTAAAATAACAATACAAAACATAAACAATTTACTAATTGCCGCATTAATAAACATCATTCTTTCTCAACCCTTTCGTTTTTATTACATTTTTTGCATTCGATTAATACATTTTTAGTACCACCATATCGGTGTTGGTTTTTGGCATCTGGCGCACCCTGCTTTTTACGACCATTACGAGCAATATCCCGAATGTTACCCTAGGTCTCATATCAATTTCTAGCACATGGATATGGAAATATCTTGTGACAGACATGATAAATTATTCCGGGAATGCAAATGCAAATTTTCAGGTGGTCACTCAATGCAGGCGCTCGATATAAATCACATTATAAAGTCATGACGGGTAGCAATTAGGAGCGATGTAAGATTTCTTGTATTTTAACGATCTTTAACGGCTGTGTATGTTTCGAGATGCGTTCAACACGCGAAGGTGTTTTTGCTTGCAGTTGGTTTTGCAAACAGTGCATTCGTGCGACAATGTTGTTTGATTAATTGGGGTAATTAGAGTTTTATTTCGAGGGGATGGTGGCGAAAATTAACATTGTGATAAGGTTCGGGGGTATTGATTAAACCCAAAACGAAGCGTTTACGCCGTTTAAATATTATTGCAATGGAATTCTGGATCGTAAGACTTGTGGCATGTTGTTGACAAATTCATTAATTTAGTTGCTTACAAAGAGTTGCTGCAAAAATTTGAGAACAATAATTATCACAAAAAACCAATTGAGGCTTGCAGCGTTTTTGTGGCGATAGTTTTTGTTGCAAGAAAATATGTTTACAAGCGCAGTTGGTAAGTAATTGTCATCGTATCTGGTCAAAATATTCAGTTTTGCTAGGTTTTTGGTGGTAATATCAATTGTGAATTAACGTTCGTACCGGTATTTGAAGTTTTATTCTGTGGATGATTTTCATGAATAGAGATTTCATATATATCAGATCCAGCGCCCGGAGTTCCACCACGTCGCTTAGTTTTTTGTCGCCGGATAATCGAAAAGATGGGTGAACAACCGGATTTCCTAAATGGGTTGATTTTCACCGACGAAGCTGGATTCAGACTCAAAGAGGCGGTGTTTAGCACCCATAATACCCATCTCTGGACTGATGAAAATCCTCACGAAATTGTTTAGCGACGTTTTCAGTGTCAGTCTTATATAACGTGTGGGTGGAAATGTGTGGCGATTAATTGCTTGAGCCACATATTTTGTGGAGTGAAAGTGTAAGTGTTGTCACAGGAAATAAATCGTATGTTCCTGACATGATTCTGAGGAGTCAAACGTGGATTAATATGTGAGTAAATTTACTGACTATTTTATCACCTATTTCCTTTTCTTTACGTAATTGTCAGTGTAATAATTACTGAGCAGACGCAAGCTTCAGTATCATATTACGCTGTTATCGGTTTCTTTGATTGGGCGTTTTTGTGAACATTTATAAAGCCAATATCTACACATAGACGGGTGGTTTTCAGAGAACTGTTATTACGAATTTTAGTTAAACTTTTCAAATTCATTTCCGTAAAACTCTGCACATTGTTTTTATAACTCAGGTGGCAACTTTAATCTAATTTGTTTCGGTTTAGTGCAGTGAAAATTTAATCCATCAAAGTTGATTAAAAATGTTTTTGTCAAATTAAACTCTTAATTTTTTAAGCGAATTTTGTTTTACATTTGGTGGAAAATATTAATTTTGTGATTAACGTGTAAATATGTCATTAGTGTCACAATTTTCTGTTTTACCTTTAATTTTGAACTTATAATTTATATAATTTTCTTTCCAAAGTTTATACAATAATTTACTTCAGCTATCTCAGATGTAGCTAACAGTACTGAAAATCACGCAATTACAGTTTTTGATTTACTATCACGAAGAAGTTTTTATGTGGCGTGATAAGAAAGCGAGCAACAAATTTTTAATTAATTAGGTAGGTATATTTTATTAAATATTTATTTCTACAACGGAAAATTAGTAACAATTTCTGTTTTTGCATGATTTATTATTATTTCGATTTTTCACAATACAACACATTTTTCACGTACAAATATATAGATTTGTTTGCCTAAACTAAAAAGTAGTCGTTTGTTGTAAAATACGCCACAGAAATGCAAATTTTCTAGGAAACCCGGTCGGACACATTCAGTCTGGTAATATGATAAAGTTCATGGTGGTGGAGGAGCTTTCACATTTTTATTAAAATACCGAATTTTTTACCTTTTTCATGAACACATATTCTAGTGTTTGTTGGACATAAATGATTTCAAAATTGAATACCCCTGTAAAAGTTTTATGGAGTCTGTGTACATGAAACATCATCCCGACATTAAAGATGAACTGATACTTTATCGATTTTTCACCGGTAGATGGGTTGTTGTAACAAGGTTTTAAAAACTTTTTACTAAATTGAATTTCATAAAGTTCACCCCAACTGAAATTAAATTAAAAATTAACAGTTTGGATTTATTGATTAGTTTAATATGTGAGGAATTTGCTTCCATATCATTGTACATTTTATATTCACGAATCGATAAAAAATGCCGAGTTTAATAAAATGAAACTGACGTTGATTTAATCAGAGCTTTTTTCCCGAAATACTTAACATAATTAATCCCTTTTTGTTCATATTCCAAATAATTCTATTTGAATTTTTCCATAATTAAATCTTATCTGACAAAGACCTCTTTATCACAGCATTCCTCCTTTCTTTTTTTTTTTTAATTTAACAACAAACTAAATTCAACACTCAGACTGAGACAGCTACGAAAATAACTACCACGCTCAGCCGTAAACATGCCCTACCCTTAGACAATTGCCTGTTGCCTCCCTAAACATTTTCACCCACGTCTGTCTTGCCCATTAAGTTATGTCCACATTTCAGCAAACGAGAGAATTTTCACACTACATTCAAGTGGCCTTTTTCTGGAAAAATATTTGCCGGAGAAAGCTTTTCGTGGAATTGTGCGCAGCGGCACTTCTTTTTGTGTGCGGAAATCCTGACAAATTTGCAACAAAGCTCTTTAGCGCAAGTTCGGGAGGGTGGGAACAAGAACTTGTGAACGTTGATAATGGATTACACGTTATTATCAATGATAGAGGCATCAGAGTTAAGGAATGACATGGAGAGGGCAAAGTTGTATGCAACGAAGTTTGTGACAAGTGGAATCAGCTCGAGGTATAAACGTTCAACGTTCAAAAAAATATATTTTGACTGTTTATTGACAAGCAGTTCGATGTTGTGATGGCACAAAGTCTAGGTCTAGGAATTGTTATTTATTTACATTATTTGGTTGTTTAAATGATCATCTTGTCATTTGTTTGATTCAATCGTTTCATATTATATTTCAAAAATCGTCTCAATTTTCGAAAATTTTGACTGTTATGGTTATAAATTAATTTCAAGTGTGCACTTTCGACGCCTTTTACTGTATTGCAGAATTTTCCAGGATTCCATTACTGTCGTTTCGCTTTTTACGCCAATTATCTTTAAAGATAACGCGGCGAGGCTATTTTTCAAGTTTTTATCTTTCCGCTTGTCTTTCCCAAAAAAGGACAGGTGTAGGCCGCCCAACAATGAATCTTTGTTATTGAGGCGATTTTTTCCACGCCACTCATTGTTAACTGAGTTAGAATAGACCTTCTATTTAATCATTTACCGCAGAATAATGGAATAGCAAGAAATAATCAATCAGAAGTAACGAAAACTCGACCACATGTCATCCGTACATCAAACCCTGTTTAATTAACGAAAATTTGTTTGGAAATGTAATTAAACCGACAAACCAACTTCTCGCGGAACTTTAATTACCCGTTTTCGCACTCCATATTACTGGATAAATATTTAAGCAAAGAGTACGAAAAACAACAAAAACATCGCAACTCAAGGGGATGACTCATGCAGTCTGTCTGCTGGCATTTATTTCTGCATCCCTTACTTTGTGCGAATCATCCACATCTATGATTCAATAGTTTCGTCTGGAATTCCAAGCGCGTTCACTTCTATGTCATAGTGTCAACTAAAGTTTCCGAGTAAAAGTGACATTTACTTTTACGTCAACCCTCTAATTTTACGTAACATTCGCAAATTATGTTCGTTTTCAGGAATCAAAAATATTGGGGCGAAATAAAAGAAGCTTTCTTTCGAAAACGTAAACTTACCATACGCTAGGAAAAATAAAAAAGTCAGCACCATGTTGACACTTTGCACTTTTCGCGCCAAAACGTCCGCGTGTACCGGAGGCGACGGGCTCACGTTCCAAAGCGCGGCGGCGAAATGAGCGTCGCAACGCCGACGTTGAGCCGCCCCCGGAGGCATGCACTTCCGCCCCCCACCGGCGGTTGCGTGTACAGACCATTCTTATCACCGCCAGTATGCTAACTAGTGGAAATACTGAAAAAGCAGCATTACGTCGTCTCATTCCTGAGGACCAGAAGGTCGCGACCTTTCCGAATTTAAATGGGATTGGAAACGAGATTTATGGGAGAGTGCTAATGGCGACTATTTAATTTGATTTTACGACCATTACATGGAAAAAATGTGGGAGGGAGGGCAGGCTTCAAGAGGGTTTAATTCGGGGAGTTAGCGGAGATGAGGAAGAAATTAGGGACATTTAGATAAGGTAATTGGATTTTAAATTGTTTAAGAAAGGCAGAAGTTTTAAGAGCTTTTTTCTGAGGACGATAAATTAGAGTCTGGAGTTGGTTTTGTGTAGTGTTTAGATTAGATTAGGGGGATCACTTTTCAAATGGTTATCGAACCTGGGGAGTTTTTGAAGTAAAGTACGATATCGACAGCGATAAATGTGACAAATATAAAGTATATATCACTCTACGTGTTTTTTTTCACTAGAGGTGTACAAAAATAAATAGGTGAAAGTATACATTTAATTTATGATTATTGTTTAAATTCCGTCCATAGTTTCTTAAAAGTGTTTTGTAGTATAATAAAGTTTTACTACATAATGTTGGATGGAATAATTATTATCTACACACCATTAGCAGTAAATCTAGTGTAAGTGATTATAAAATGCAAGTAATGTTAAGTGTTAAATAGTTATTATTTTGTTTTATTAGCTTCAATGACAGTTTTTTTAATAAATGCGTTGATATAAAGTGAACGAAAAGAATCCTTTTGTAGATTTTGCCTTACTTAAGTATTGAGTTTTGTTGATGATGGAACAACCGTTATTTGTTTTCTTGATGCCCAAGTAATCGCTCCTCCACCAAGAATAAACACGAAAAGCGGCGTAGGATTTTCCGTCTACAGTAGATACCCTCAGTGAGCATTAGCGTAACCAACTGATTTATGTTTGGAATGATTAAAAGTTGCGTTTCTTTCAAATAAAGTAGAACCCTTTTCGAAGATGTCTTAATGTTTTTGCTAATGACGATTGTTGAATAATTTACGAACATTAATTTTGTCGCCCAATTTGGGTTTTTATCATCCACTTCTGACCTCACTAATTTTTATTTATTTTCCTGTGTAATAGATGTTAAAAGAACTACTTCATCTAAACGATGAAGTAGTTCTTTCAACGATCAACATGTTATTGCCGTATAAAGTCTCCATTAGAATATACTGTCTTTGATCATTGTAGCAGGGTGAGTGACCGTAAGAAATTCTTTTAATATTTTGCTTTTACTTGAAAGGTTTTGGAAAAAAGTAATATGTTTTACTATGTTAGTAAATTTTTCACTCAATATTTCACTACACCACGTTTGCCTATCTTCGATAGTGCAACACATTTATTCACTTCATACTTTTTAAAATTTAAAAATGGGAGTCGGCGATATCAAATTAAAAATTTCGTCTGTTCCACAATCGCTTGTTTCGTATCAGTAACATAGTCACAAATAAAATATAAAACCATGATAAGATCTAGTTCACCCACGTCTCCATTGGTAGAAAACAGTTTTGATATTTTTAGTTTTGACATTTATAATTTGCTATTTTTGCTTATCATGTGCAAGTTTTAAATTTTTGTTTGATATAATTTCGGTGGTTTTGCCACTCGCGAAATTTAATTGTCTTGGGGAGTCTGTCAACACTGTCAAGAGGATCGATATCTTTACATTAGCGTGAAGTGTATTTGGAATTTACGCACTGCAGAGAGGTGTAGTATTTTTAATCATGTTTCAATAAAAGTATTAAGTTTTCTAGAAATTTCTCAGTAATATTTCGTTAAACTTATTGACGATATCGAAAAACTAATATCTCTTAACTCTTTTAACTGAACTAAGATTAATAGTTTCAGTAAAGCTGGTGAATTTCGTGCAATTTTATAAAATATATCTGATGTTTCACAGCTTTCTATTTGTGTCAGTTTTGAAAGGTCTATCAATAAGACTATATCTGATTTTGCCAGTTTCGATACTTTCGACCCAGGCAATACTCCAGCTTTTATTTAAAAAAATCTGCACTAATTCCGTCGAAAGTAACTCCCCTCCTCCACGCTTTCCCATTCGCGTCAACTTGCATGTAACGCGTCAAATTAGTCCACAAGGAAAATCGACACGAAAAACATAAATAGAGAAATTCGATATCGTCTGGTCGGAGAAACAATTTGTAAGGGTCGGGTCAGGTTAGATGTGGGGATAAGTAATGAAAAGGCCCGAATAACACACACACAATTTCCCAAATCAAATATTGACAGTGTGTAACTAGAGAGTGAGAGACAATGCAGGCTGCATTCTACCCCACATTTGAAATTTGCCAACAGTGTGTTAACCCCATCGTCACACCCATTATTAGACTTTATTAATTCGACGAGAAGAGCAATGCCAGTAATGCAGTCATTGGTATGCGTACTGCGACGTGTGAGGACTCCATATAACGACCCCAGGACTACGCTAATGTCTTCGTCGACCCATTTCGGCGGCCTCGTAATCCTTCTTTATTGTCAAACGGGCGAGTCATTTACCAACACTTTGTCTTCCGGGGCAGCTTTTTATTAATTCAAAGGGCTGTATTATTGTTTTTGGGGAGAGGATGATGAACTCACGGTGAATAAAACTTCCGTCAAACAATTTTTTAAGAGATGAAGAGGGACGGAATCTGTTTTACCGCAGAGTCGGAAACCTGTCTACCACACATTTCATAGTAATAACATCAAGGGTGGTAAATGTCACTTTCCGTTTCAAGGATGTACTTGGTAAAGTGAGGTCGTAACTTAATAAAAATGCTACAAGAGAAACATCAATCATAATGTTTCTAAACAGATGTAGATTTTTTTTAAGTGACCTCGTAATCTTTTTTTGTCGCGAATTATACGGGTTATTTAGCTACGCTTTGTCTTTCAGGAAGGCTTTTTTACATACAGAGCTCTCAGTTATTGTTTTTTTGGAAAAGAGGATAATGAACTCTCCTTGAATAAAACTCCCATCAAACATTTTCTAAGGTAAGAAAGCAAGATGCTCGCTTATCAAGATCTCTTAGAGCTACTCGACTACGTATTTGTATCTCTTGGCTCGAACAAACTTGGTTTTGATATAATTCACACTAACTAGGGTCGTGAAAGACGTTAACAGCTTGAATGATGCTCTGCTTTCATGAGTTAGAGGAATTTCGATCTTGACATTTGTGCGAAATGTTACTTCTGGTGGATGCGCCGGGTAGATAAATATTTCATAACATAGTAAGGTGTTAGGATTTGGCGAAGATTAATTTCGCGTAAAACGAAAATTAAATTTCAATTTTACATTGTTTAGTGACGTTTGTTTTGTAACGCGTTTTTTAAGATGTTTCATTATTGTTTTATTTCTACATTACAATTTAAAATTTTAGTTTTTGGGTGAAACGAAAAAGGTGAACTTGAAGAGGAGATGACCAATTTTAAAGTAAATTTATTTAGAAAAAATGTATACAGTTGGAGAAATAAAAAATGTAATTCTATAAATAGCGAGCATCAGTTGTCGTTGTTAGTTGAATACGATATGAACAAAATACGCAGATTCTAAGAATTGTTTATAACGGACGTGGGTTTAAAATGGAAAACGGAGTGAATTTAATTAACCCAGGGGTGTAATATTTTCTAAGTATAGATGAATATTCAAAAGAATGCTTTATTACATTTAGGCGAAAAATGCAACGACGACTAAGCATATTTTACAATAACAAATGAGCTGTATTTTGCTGGAAACAGAAGTTAAATAATAATTAAATAAATAACGATATAGTAAACAGTTAATATTTTAGATTTCTTGTAGTTGTGTTAACTGTTTGTGAACAGTACGCAAAATTTAATCTTTCTTTTTGAAGTATATCATGTTATGTGCCCATTTTTCTTGATTACTTTTGTCCAATATACAAGGAATCCTAAATGCTCCACAAACATTATTCTAGTTCCCATATGAACCGCTTCTGGGTCACTGGGTAAATTAATTTCTGCATGATCTTATAATAATGCCATGGTCGTGCTGAAATGAATTGTAGTCTGCGTGATTATTAAGTGCATCAAGTCAATAAAAATGTTTGCATCCTAATGAACTTTATATAGTTTTTTTAAATAAATATTTCTATTTGTGTATAGTCCTTAAAGCCAGAAATTTAATAAAGAACAAGATTTTTTAATTACATTTGAAAAACTGCAACAATTAATTTTCATAAAACACACAAGCTTCATGTTTTTGTTGGTTTATTGCAAAGATAATTTTATTCTCTTCGCATTTTCGCCTGTCACTCTTTTAAATACACCCATGATTTATTATCACCGTTGTTTTATCTTGACCTAGATTTAAACAGTTATTAATTGTTTGTCCAGGTAACAATAGATACGATTTTGTTCGAATTTTTAAACTAAAGCAACATTTTTCATTTAGAAAATAGTATTATTTATAATTGCAAGGAAAACAGTTATCTTTGCCACCAGTTTTATTTGCAGGCTTTTCTTCGCCGATTTGTATGTATTTATGGTTACTAGGTGGCGTAAGCGTAAACATTCTGCAATATAAAGCGGGATCGATAGCCCCGTTTTTGTGAATGGTGGCTAATTTTAGAATGGTTTCTGTGAAACTGACCATGAGTATAAAAGGGGTAAAAATACCCTCATGGGGAGAGATAACAAATTAAAATAACAAGGGCGACAAATTTCATTGAAAAAAATTTTATAATTGATTACCGTAGGTGTAAAATGAAATTTGTGTTAATATACTTAAACTTCATTAATTTTAATTAAACGTAAAATTTATACCATCTAGATAACCAGTTTATCTAAAACAAATGAGTTACATAGAATACTGTATTGAATTTAT